ACAAAGTTTTGCGTCGACTTGCGGCAGACTACATTCCCAGGAACTGATGTCAGAGGTCAGGATAAGCGATGGCTGGCGACGGAAAACCACTGACCTACACAGAACGCAGCAACACAAAATGACCAACATCCGTCTTCATATTTCTCTCACATGCACGCCTCTGAGTAACCAAGTCGCGTCTTACTATAAAGTTTTACAATAAAATTGCAATGTACATTTCCCCATTCGTGCTACATGGTCCGCTCATCTCCGAACTCTTGACTTAACCGGTATCACGAATTAGGGTACAAAGCACGAAGCCACGAGTCATTTAATTTTCTCCATTACCAGTGCTAATTCAACCGCAAGGTGGGATCGAACCCACGGTCTTTGGAACGACAGTTCAAAGTACTCGGGGTCCGAATTAGAAGAATGAGCGTTCATAACAGCTCACACACACGTGACGTGACTAACCTAACCAAACCTAACCCAAACAAACCAAACCTAACCCAACCAAACCTAACCCAACCCAACCAAACCAAACCAAACCTAACCTAACCCAACCAAACCTAACCCAACCTAACCAAACCTAACCCAACCTCACCTACCGCCCAAAATAAGCATCTAAGCCTCATGTTTACTGATAAAAAATTCTTTAAAACATCCAAACGTCGAAAAATAGGTCACGAAATGGGCAGGACATGTAGCGCGCATGGAGATGTGGTCCGCATATAAAACGTCAGTTGGAAACACACAACTTGAAAACTCAAAACACTGCCGAACACGGGACGGCGATATTAAAACGGATTTTGAAGTGCTTGGATGCAGACCGGATTCATGTGTCCAAGGAGTGTCCAAAGTCTGTGGTCAGTAACAAATTTTCATCCTGCACATAAAAGCGAGATTCTGTTGCCCAGATGAGCGACCATCGTTTGCCCAAAAAGGTCGAAGCCCCCATGCACTTCTGCGCCTGCCAAAAATTTCACGTGCGTTAATAAAACCCACATACGAGTAAAGAGGATTTGTTCTTAAAACTGGGTCGTGAGACGGCTTCGCGTTTCGCCCGCATTTCGTGAATCAATTCCTCGGCCAAGTAACCGCTCACAGGCGCGTAACATTTAAGTGATTTCCAAACGACTTAACTAACTGTTGTTATACAAGACGCAATTATAATTTCGTGACCGCTGGCACGAACACAAAGTGCACAGGTTCGCGTGCTCACATGTGTTCTTCTTCAGTCGAAAAACCTGTCTCGACCGTTGCAGGTGAGTTAATTCCGTGACCGGGGCAGAAGGCGGACGCTGCTTTAGGCAAGGCTCAGCGGTTACGTAACCACGGGTCACACAAAGCCAACGAAAGCAAAAGTGACGGCTGAATCCGGGGAAAAAGTAGACTTCTCGCGGTCTTTGTACTGTAACCCACAGAGAAATGCTTTCGTTGGCGTCAACTTCAAGCACATCCACAGGCGTCCACGCGTGAAAAGCATCCGAGTTCAAAATACTGGAACTCTTAACGACAGGTCCCTGTAATGACATGCACCCCAAAAATTAACATCCGGTAGTAATAATGCTGCTAACACAGATCTACATAAACAGAAGACTATCAGTATAAATGTTGCCTGTTGTCTGCTAGTTTCATGAAACTCACACGTTGTTGTGATCATCTTTCTCAAATTTTAATTTCACAAAGTTCTCCCCCCTACGCCGCGAAGAACACAGAAAGCTCCCATAAAAATATTTAAGAACCCAGTCCGTACCGCAAAGAAAACACCACACTCCACCATTACAAAGATCAATTGGTTAACCATTCGAACCGAAACTCGTCTAAATATTATTTAAACTTTCGATCCGTACCGCGAAGAAAACACAACGCCTCACCATTACGAAGATCAACTGGTTAACGCTGTTTAAGGAAATAATAGATTTTTATTCCGATAATTAATTAACCCTTCGAAGCCGAAGCTCGTCTAAATAGCATTTAAGAATTCAGTCCGTACCGCGAAGAAAACACAACGCCTCACCATTACGAAGATCAACTGGTTAACGCTGTTTAAGGAAATAATAGATTTTTATTCCGATAATTAATTAACCCTTCGAAGCCGAAGCTCGTCTAAATAGCATTTAAGAATTCAGTCCGTACCGCGAAGAAAACACAACGCCTCACCATTACGAAGATCAACTGGTTAACGCTGTTTAAGGAAATAATAGATTTTTATTCCGATAATTAATTAACCCTTCGAAGCCGAAGCTCGTCTAAATAGCATTTAAGAATTCAGTCCGTACCGCGAAGAAAACACAACGCCTCACCATTACGAAGATCAACTGGTTAACGCTGTTTAAGGAAATAATAGATTTTTATTCCGATAATTAATTAACCCTTCGAAGCCGAAGCTCGTCTAAATAGCATTTAAGAATTCAGTCCGTACCGCGAAGAAAACACAACGCCTCACCATTACGAAGATCAACTGGTTAACGCTGTTTAAGGAAATAATAGATTTTTATTCCGATAATTAATTAACCCTTCGAAGCCGAAGCTCGTCTAAATAGCATTTAAGAATTCAGTCCGTACCGCGAAGAAAACACAACGCCTCACCATTACGAAGATCAACTGGTTAACGCTGTTTAAGGAAATAATAGATTTTTATTCCGATAATTAATTAACCCTTCGAAGCCGAAGCTCGTCTAAATAGCATTTAAGAATTCAGTCCGTACCGCGAAGAAAACACAACGCCTCACCATTACGAAGATCAACTGGTTAACGCTGTTTAAGGAAATAATAGATTTTTATTCCGATAATTAATTAACCCTTCGAAGCCGAAGCTCGTCTAAATAGCATTTAAGAATTCAGTCCGTACCGCGAAGAAAACACAACGCCTCACCATTACGAAGATCAACTGGTTAACGCTGTTTAAGGAAATAATCGCTGTTTACAGCGAGAATCATACGTAACACATAAACGAACTCTATGAGTAAAATTCAGAGCTACGTGTACTTATCACTGTGCCTCGAAAGATTAAGAAACGAGATGATGGGCACGTAGCACGCATGGACGATAAATTCATACGGCACGCCTCAAGGAAAAATAACACTTGAGACACCTCGGCGTATATTGAAAGATGTTACAAAGATGCATCTTCAGGGAACACGATGTAGGCTGAATTCAAGTGTCTCAGGATAAGGGCCCGGCCCTTTTCACATCTTCCCGGACTGAATATCAACAATTCTGATACGGTTTAAGGTTTTCTCGGTCCCTCCGGGCAAATTCCGGGATAATAACTTCAAATAGGCCACGACCGCTTCCTTCCACATCCTATTATTCGCCGCTATATATCGTGAGAAGCTGACAGCGTCGTTACACGGACCATAAATAAATTTTATACTTTCTTCACTCGTAGGTATTTCCTTGACATGAGACAAAGTCTCCGGAGACCCGATGCGACGTTAATCAGCCAGTGCCCCCACGAGAGCCGCAGAGAACGTTGATCCCAAAACGCTTTGTGACAACAAATCACGGTCGTAACTTGGTAGAACAGCCGCGCCCAGTTAATGCCGTCCTTCCAGTCCTAATGGGTGCTGTCGAAACTGGCTTCTCTTTTCTCACCGTGGATTTCACAGCTCATGGGACTTGATAACGGCCGACTTCTGGGTTGTAGCGCCGTGTGGTTTGGTAGAAGTTTACAGACGTTTCGGAGGTCCTTGCTGCCTCCCTCATCAGGGCGATGAGTGTGACATTTTTAAGGACAGAAGATGTCTTCTGGGTTCAACCGCCGTGTGGTTTGGTAGAAGTTTACAGACGTTTCGGAGGTCCTTGCTGCCTCCATCATCAGGGCGTAACACCCAGAAGACAAACATCTTCGCACCGTACAATTTGAGACAAGACTTGGAAACCGCTTTGCTGTTTCGCCGGTTCGTGAACCGAAAGTTTCTTTCTACTCTCAGGTATTTGTGACGACAAGGTACAAGACAATGTCTGAATCACTGGATTACGCGTTTGCCATGTTTCGACTCAGTGTTCAGGACCCGCGTGAGGCCTCATCAGGCAGTCAGCAAAACCAGACGCGAACTTGAGCACGGCTGACGGGAAACGAGGACGGGGTTTACTGCAACTCGCAAGACCCGAGACGTCGAATGGGGGACAACATTACAAAAGTTAATAAAAATTGACTCTCGACAGGGTCCCAGTGGGAATACGACAACGGACGTCTGATTTCATATAACGCGAGGAATTAACCGACCAGCTACGTGACCATCAGCTTCAACGGCACAGCACAAGATGAAGCAAACGTCTGAGACACTGGGCCGTGATTTAAAAACCTCTTTCATAAGAATGAGTCAGGTGGTGGACGGCTTCTTCCTCGATGGGAGCCGGTGATATCTGCGGCCTGACATCACCACCACAAAATAGCTCGGCTCATTACATCACCAGGGATACGTGATCGGTATTCAAATCAGGTGACGTCAGACCTGCACCGTCCGATACGGACCGGTTCCAGCAAGAAAGTACATGAGCGCCTCAAGTCCCTGGAGACGTTGAACAAATTCAGCCACAGGGCGGGACGTGGGTTCGGGTACCAGTACGGTAACAGTACGGGCTTGCCACTGATCACCACGTCCAGAGGAGTGACTGGGGCGAAGCCCGAGTACGGACTGAAGTGAAAGTTCAACGGACTGCGATCCCAGTGCACGGCTTCGTCGAACCCCAGGCCGTGTTTCGCGACTTTGCCCAAGTTCCATCAATCAAATTACGTGGCGACGCCTTGAACAAGATCGCGGCGGTGGTCTAGCGGTTAGAACGCTGGGGTCTAGGGTTCAATTCCCGGCGGTGCCCGAATTTATAACTTGTGTTGGGCAAGGCCGTGGTCTAGGCAACACGGAGTTTTCCTCCGGGGCTTCTCCGGTTTCTCCGTGGCATCCCAAAAATTACTCCATTTTCATCATTTACACACAAAAGAAGGAACTTCTGGATCATTTGCCTAGAAAACATATGAACAGGTTCCTATCAGAGGGAACTTGTTCATAATGTCACCAGGGGTCGATTACCAGGATACAGATCCATGCATGGGACTTACCGACAACGGCGATGACGTAATTATTGGGCGGCTTCAGGACGTTCCTCGCCCAAGCTGCTCGCACGACCTCCAACGCGCAGGCGCTAGCAGTGACCAGCAGGACTCCAGGTGCGACGTAGCCTTGAAATTCCAGCAACCGCATCGCTTCCAGAAGGGAGGCATTCCAGAAGCACTTGAGGTTCGCCTCCAAGAAACCCTGGAATACAATCAAATATTCATCCAAGAACGCTGACCAGATATACTTGAGGGGAGATGGGTATGTCTTGTAGCAAGCACGGCATATGAATTAGAGATAAAAACATTTTAGCCGTAAAACCTGAACCAGTCGAAGAAATTCTTCGCCCTCTATGGGACCTGCAGGTTCATTACCGTGTCTACACGTCCCGCCCATCTCATTCTCACTGATGACTGAATATTACCCGGTGAAACGAATACGTCAGCAACCCTCAACGCTCCCCGTTTCTTATTAGGTCCAAACATCCCCTGTTTTTATAGGCACCTTCCATGTTTCTCCCCTCGGAACCAAGTTTCACACCCAAACAAGCCGGCAACAGTTATACTAAGGATGTTTTCTTTTGGGATCTATAAATGGCTGCCCCAAGCATCTCTGAGAGCTCACTTACCCGAACACTCGGAGTCCCCCCCCCCCTGCGGCCATTTCCTGTTTCTAAATCTGTGGTTCAATTGCGGGGAGGACCACAGAATGCACCAGACAGAGGAAGACACGCGAAACACAGATTTCAGACTCTGCGGTGGCGAGTATCTGGGAAGCTGTGCTGTGCAGTTTGGCAGACGTTTACCGACGTTCCAGGGTTGCTTACCGCCTTGTGGCAGTCTGAACACTCATCGCCCTGATGATGGAGGCAGTAAGCAAAGCCGAAGCGTCGGTAAATTTCTACCAGACGACACGGCGCTGCAACCCAGAAGTCGGCCATCTTCAGACAAGTGTCTGCTCTGACCATAGCAAGAACCTCCACTCCAGGTTGTTCAAATGTGGCCGTGAATTAGCAGGGATAAGGCAGGTAGCGGACCGGGCATCGGCTTTAGAAAACAAAAGGGTCCGGTTCGCATCTCGATCGGGGCACACCTCGCCCTCAGCCCAGGTACCAGGCGACGCAGGACGCGAAAATGTGACGTCGCGTAGACCAGCACGCAGATTCCAACGCCCTGAAGACGGAGACGGTACGTTCCTCAAAAAAGTTTATATCCATCTACAGGTCTGCACGGTGTTACAACCCGGAAGACCTAAATCGGCGTCTTCACCGTGAGAACCTCAAATCACATTTACATTATCACTCACGAGTGACCAGGGTGTACTCAGAACATCCCGGGTTAAATATCTCGGTCTGGAAACCTGCTGTACCGAGGTTTGTCTCAGTCAGTCCTAGGCAAATTCCGGGATAGTACTTTAAATTATATCAGGTTCGCTTCCTTCCAAATCCTTTCCCATCATTCGACTGAGAGCGTCAAATGAATTACGGAAAACAGAAACACTTTGAACAAGGACCTCTTTGGGGAGCTTGGCCGCGCTCGCCGCCAGTGAAAGGAACGCACAGTTCAACGACGAATGAATGAAACCCTTGTTAAAGCCAACTCCACCCCCAGCGACAAGGCAATAAACCGCAGGCTTATTCCGACAGCCTGTCGCCGACAGTTCCCGGTCGTCCTGGGACCCCGCAGAGGGAAATCAGCAAAAATACCGACGCTCTGACTTGCATTCTGTACGCCGACGAACAGAGTCCTCATTGAGAAGCTGACAGTAGCTCAACTGGTCAAATTCCCCGCCTTTTATGAAACCAGAAGTTTCTTCAAGCGTCCTGAACCACGTGACTCCCGCCCACCTCAATTTCTTGAATATACATTTTAATATTATCAAACCATTTATTCCAAGGTCTCCTTCTTTAAAGTTTGTAGCTGAAAACTGAATAATAATCATAATAATAATTTGATGAGACGACAGATCACGTGTCTTGATGCCCAGCGCTGGCAAGAGAGTAATATATATATATAACGACATGATCGTGTGTGTACTCAGTTACATTTTAACAAATGCAGGTAAAGATAGAAAAGAAGAACACATCCCGAAGACAGTGGAGACACGTGAAGATAGCCAAATAACCATTTTGTGGAACAAACAAGTCATAACAGAAAAATTAAACCAGATATAATCCGAAACAAAAACGGAACTTGTCTCTTAATTGATATAGCAAATACCGACTGACAGGAATGTGATTAAGAAGGGAGCGGAGAAGATCTTGAAATAGAAGGACCTTCTCATAGAAATACAGAGAATGTGGAAGGTTCAAGCAAAATTAATCCCAATAATTATAGGAGCAACTGGAATTGTCTCCAGGTCACTCAGGAAATATTTGGCCAACATCCCGGGCGAACACGAC